TTCTTTCTTTCTTTCTTTCTTTCTTTCTTTCTTTCTTTCTTTCTTTCTTTCTTTCTTTCTTTCTTTCCTTCTTTCTTTCCTTCTTTCCTTCTTTCCTTCTTTCCTTCTTTCCTTTTCTCTCTCTCTCTCTCTCTCTCCCTCTTTCTCTCTCTTCAATTTTTTTAAAATTTTGGTTATTTTAAGGGGTTTTTTTTATTCTTTTTTTAGCTGCTGGCTCTATCTCTTCAAAGCTTTAGCAAAAATTGGGGTTATTTCACTTTTGTCTTCCTTTGGAAAGGCTTTTCTTTGATCGAGCATGCCATCTTTGCACCTCACCAATCTTGTGGTTAGTGTCCCTGCCCTCCTTCCTCTAGTGACACACATGTCCCCCTCCTCCCTGCCTGCCCCACCTCCTTCCCACTCTTCCCTGCCCTCTCCAGTCCTCTGCTTCCACTCCAGCTGCCCTGTGGTTTTGGTTGGGTGGGCACACACAGATCCCTGCGCTTGGAGAGTTCCCTGTGCTCACAGGGCTCTGCCCCAGGCACGAAGTCCTGCTGGGAAGCCCTGGCATGGTCTGACCACTTGTTCCCAGTGGTATCTGAGAAGAGATGGGTTGAGACAGGCCCATCAGGAGATCGTGATTTGGCACCACCTGCTTCCACAGTCCTTTGAGTCCTTTGAGACGCTTTGGATGGAAAAAGCCTCGAGGAGCAGTTGAAGGTCGATGGGAGTCACCAGAGCAGGGGAGAATCTCCAGACTTGGGGGTCAGGGTGCGAGTGCAGGGCTGCAAGAGCCCCCTGGGCACTTTGGGGTGCCATTGAATATGAAGATTCCTATGAGGCTGGGATGCCCTGAGCAGCACGTCAGACACCTGGGAATGCAACCCTCATGGGAACCTCCTGAAGCAGAGATGTCCTGGCCAGTCCCCAGCTCCATCCCATCCTTCACTGCACGTCAAGATGCTGGCAGGTGCCCCAGGGGGAGGTGCCAGGCACCCCACACCCCATCTGCTGGAAGTGGTGCTGCTAGCTCACACCTTTTGGCAGGGAGCTCAGTGCCAAAGGTCACTTGTCACTGCGGAGGGTACAGCATGCCACCACGGCCAGAGCTGGATGACCATTGGAAGCTGGCAGTGAGGTGGAGGGAGGCAGCAAGAGGATCCAAAACACTGGAGAAGCAGAGCAGTGGCCTGACAGGAGGTGCTGACAGAGACATGAGGCAGCCATCGCGTTGGACTCTGGTGTGGCACCTCACGTGGTAACCTGGATGCTGCACAGGAGAGCAGGGAGGCTCAGACTTGCCAGGCGTGCCGTCCATCCCTGTGACATGCTGGCAGGTGGCCCAGGACCCCGAAGCCATATGTGTGAAGGGATGGGGAGGGGGGGCACTCACAACCTGATGCTGCCAGCCACACCATGCAGCCTCCCTCCCAGTGGTCTCCAACACTGCAGGCAGAGCCAGGGCCATGAACCCCAGCAGGTTCACCTCTGGAGGTCCAGGACCTTGTCCTCTAACCTCCTTCAGTCCTGACAGTCTCCATCTCCCTTGTTACCCTTCCTTCCCCCTGTCTTGCCCCTGTCCTCCCCGTGGTGACTCTGCAGCTGTCCCCCTCCCAGTCGTGTTGCAGCACCTCCTGCCCAAGTTCTCCAGCTCTCTACCACACAGAAGGTCCTCTCGCCCTACGGCTTCACGGTGGCACCAGCGCAGCCCTCTCCCCTCCTGCCTGCCATGGAGGTGACAGTCAGAGAGGTCTGCAAGTCTGGTGTGTCCTGTGGTGTTGTCCATGGCGTGTGCCACCCTCCTGCCCACCCTCCTGCCCATGGCACGCTGCCTGCCCGCTGCCCCAGCCCCTTCGCCTGGCCCTGGCTGCCTTCTCTTTAGTTTTGCTTTGCAGCGCTGCGGTCGCGCCCTGAGCAGTGACCTGGGACCCGGCCACTGCCGGCCACGCCAGCCGTGCCTGGGCACTCAGGGGTGGGAGCAGTGACCGCTCTCCCCCCTGTTGTGTGTCCCCCCCTTCTCTGGCAGGGCCTTTGTCTACCTGAGCAACCTCCTCTACCCCGTGCCCCTGGTGCACCGCGTGGCCATCGTCAGCGAGAAGGGCGAGGTGAAGGGATTCCTGCGTGTGGCTGTCCAGGCCATCTCAGGTAGGAGGGAACGCCCCTCCCAGAACCTGCCCTTGTCCCCCCTGTACCCTCTGTGCTGGCTCACCCCCACCCCTCCCGCAGCGGATGAAGAAGCCCCTGACTATGGCTCTGGTGTGCGGCAGTCGGGGACAGCCAAGATCTCCTTTGATGACCAGCACTTTGAGAAGGTAAGGTGGGGCTGGCTCTTGGTGGATGCCCATGGACCCTGCCACCTTAATGCTTCCCCATGGGGACCCCCAGGCTCCTAGAGGTGGAGGGAATGTGGTTTTGGTCCACCGGGCAGACCAAGGCTTCGGGCACCGACCGGTGCATCGTACTCTCACCCATGTCCCGGGGGGCTGCCGTGGGGTGGGAGGGGAGAGCTGGAGGTGCCTGCTTGATTGGGACGCTGGTGGTGGGGCAAGCAGGACCACCCTGGGGACCACCAGCATCCCTGAACTGCACTGCTGGCACAGTTCCAGTCAGAGTCGTGCCCAGCTGTCGGGATGTCTCGCTCGGGGACCTCTCAGGAGGAGCTGCGCATTGTGGAAGGTCAGGGCCAGGTCAGCGACGTGGGGCCATCTGCTGATGAAGTCAACAACAACACGTGTGCAGGTGAGGAGCTGGGACAGGCGATTTGGGGGTGGCTCCCTGCACTCAGCCCCTTGCACCCTCCCTGGCATTGACAGCTCTCTGCTCCAGTGGGGGCTGCTGGCAGACAGAATCGCAGAGTTGGGAAAAGCCTTTGAGATCACTGGGTTCAGCCTGACACCACCTTGTCAGCTACCATGACCCTGAATGCCACATCCAGGCTTTTCTTAAACACCTGCAGGGCCAGTAACTCTACCACTTCCCTGGGCAGCCCCTTCCAATGCTCAGTCTCCCTTTCTGTGAAGAACTTATTCCTAATGTCCAACCTAAGTCTCCCCTGGTGCAGCTTAAGACTGTGTCCTCTTTTCCTGTCACTGGTAGCCTGGGAGAAGAGACCAATTCCCACCTGACTATACCCATCTTTCAGGGAGTTGCAGAGTGTGATGAGGTCTCCCCTCAGCCTCCTCTTCTCCAGACTAAACATCCCCAGCTCTCTCAGCTGCTCCTCACAGAGTTTGTGTTCCAGACCCTTCACCAGCCTTGTTGCCCTTCTCTGGTCATGCTCCAGCATCTCAACATTGTTCCTAAATGTTCCTAACACTGAGGGGAAGACACCCTGCCTTGCTAAGGGCCTTCTCCTCCCTGCAGTGACCCCAGAGGATCTTCTTCTGGACAGTCCTGAGAAGCCTGCATCGGACGGGCCACTGGAGGTGGCTTTGGACCACCTGAAGCTGGGCAGCATCTTCACTTTCCGTGTGACGGTCCTGCAAGCCTCCAGCATCTCCGCAGAATACGCTGACATCTTCTGCCAGTTCAAGTGAGCTCCTAGTGCCCCCCAGCCCTGCTTCTTCCACCAAGCTCCAGCCATCATATGGGGGCTTATGGTGAATTTGGGAAGTTTCCTTCGCCTCTGAGCCTTTGGTGGATGGAGAGGCAAAACCAAGGGCTGTGAAATCTGCCCAAGCACTTGTTTAATCACTGGCAAAAGGCAAGGAGAGACTCCCATCAGCTTCAGGGAGTCCTGTGCCAGCCAAGGGTGCAGGCAGCAGCCCCAGGGGGAATAGGCTCTTGTTGTGCCTTGCTTTCACTTCCCTCCCTGCTCCTGCACATCCCCACCTCACAGCCCCTGAGCAACCTTCCTTCCCTCCACAGCTTCATCCACCGCCACGATGAGGCCTTTTCAACAGAACCCTTGAAGAACACAGGACGAGGGCCACCCCTGGGCTTCTACCATGTCCAAAATGTGCGTACCCCTCTCCCACCACGCCTTTGCTCCTGCAGCTGCTGGGGTCTCTGCAGGGCTGGATCCTTTCCCAGGGAAGCAGTTTCCTCCTGGCTTTCCCAGCCCCTACCAGACACCCAGCTAAGCTGTGGTGGACATGCAGGAAAAACACAAAAAGCCACTGTCATCCACCTGAAAAGAATGGGATTTCACTGCAGTAGTCTGGGTGGGGAGAGCATCCCTAAATGGGGGGAGGAGTGGGTGAGGGATACAGGGGACTGAGTCTTACACCCTTCCACATCCCAGCTGCTGTTGCTGGCTCTATCCTCTTTCCCAGCTAAACTGCCCTGTCAGTGGCTCAGCAGTTCTTTCTCTTCCAGATCGCTGTGGAGGTGACAAAATCTTTCATTGAATACATCAAGAGCCAGCCAATTGTGTTTGAGGTGTTTGGCCATTACCAGCAGCACCCCTTCCCACCTCTCTGCAAGGATGTCCTGAGGTGGGCACATCTGGGCCACCCCCAGCCCCTGGCTGTGCTCCTGGTGCACTGTGGGGACCCAGGCTGGCCCCAAGGCATAGGTGTGGGGCTGGCTGGGTTTGGGGATCCCTGGGGATGCTGTAACCAAGCTGGTTCTTTCTGCAGCCCACTGAGGCCATCCCGACGCCACTTCCCCCGTGTGATGCCACTCTCCAAACCAGGTAGGGAACCCAGCCTCCTACTCCTGTGCCCACCCACAGTTCCCATGTTGGGTGGGTGTCCCCTTCCTCAGAGGGACCAGTTAGGACCTCAGAAGCACCACAAAATTACTATGGGCCACAGCATTGGAAAGTCCTAGACATTTCCACAATACTCAGCAGATGGAAAGCCCCATCCCATCTCCTACAGAGCAGCAGGGAGGAGGTTCCTTGCCCTGGGTGGTGGTTCCTTGCCCCTGCATGAGGCTCTTGTTGCTGCCTCTGTGCATGCCCTGAGATCCTTGCCTGCTCTGCCCTTTCCCTGCCATTTCTCTGCCTCATTCCAAGTGCCAGCAGCAGGCTCAACCTCTCACCTGACTTTTCTGACCCACTGCAGTGCCTGCAACAAAGCTGAGCACCATGACTCGGCCCACTGCTGGCCCCTGCCAGTGCAAGTATGACCTGATGGTCTTCTTTGAGATCTGTGAGCTGGAGGCCAATGGAGAGTAAGTCCTGCTGGGAAAGGAAGGGGGAGAGG